TGCTCTCATCTGATTCCTTACTGGTTTGATAAATTCACATTGTTTTCTGGTTTACCATCTGAAAAAACTTGCTTAAGTTTTTTTTTGTTTTTTGTTTTTTTGTTTTTTTTAGAGCAGAAAGAAAATGGTTTGATTTGTTTGCTTTTTGTCTTACCAGCTAGGATATAATGGAGAGCTGTGGGTGTATAAGTTCACTTGATGTGACACTTTATTCTGAGGTTTCTGTTGCTTAATTGAAACCATTGAAAATGGTTTAAAACCCACAGGTTCTGAGCAGGGGACTGGGAGGAATAGTAACACAGACCTTTCAAAAACAGTAGGGGTTTCAAAGGCCATATTCTTCTTGATTTTGGAATGCTGTATGTGATTTTTGTATGGTGGATTTTTCTTTTGAAACACATTTTTCTTAGGGTGACCTTATAACCTATTTGTCTTCTATAAGCATCCAGAAACAGGCAGCTGAAAATTATGGAAAGGGAAAATGGACAGAGGATTAAAATTAACTATGGATGATTACATAGATAATATCAGGATTTAAAGAGAATATATTCCCATATGATCTATTTGCTGCCTGTTTGTATATTTTATGGTTATTTATACTTCAATATGAATAAGTGGTATAGCCAGTTTTGTAAAGCTAATGTCAATCAGAGACGTCTCTCTGTCCATGTCATAGGATAGAGTTTGCTGTGATTGCCAGCAGAGACCCAGGTACCTCTTGGGGGTTTATTTCCATCTCCAAGATTCAGTGAGTTGTTTGCTTGTTATCTTCTTAAAGTAAAATAATATATGTGGAATGCTGAACACCATGCCTTCTCTAATTCTTAACATGGAGAAATACTTATTGTATTTTAACTTCAAAATGGTTATAAAATAGCATGTAAAGTTTTATCCCAGTTATGCAAAATTCAGCCAATAGTTATTAAGTTATTTCCCAGATGCTGTTTAAGGACCTGGGGTATGAGAACTAGGTAGGGAAGAACCTACCATTTCTTTGTGTCTCATTAATTTTTGCATCAGAGAGTTGATTGGTGTGGCTTGCTGTGATGTCCTCTATAGTCCACCCACCTCTATATGTCCACCCACCTTCTCCTCGTGTAGATTAGGGCAGTGCTTTGGAAGACCTCATTTATCCCCCATTTTCACTCAGGGATAAGGATTGGAAGTTAAAACACATTTGTTGAGCTTCCTAAAGCACTAATATAATCACAGCCTAAACCACCTAGAAACCTCCTTTTTGAGGGAGCCTATGCTGGGAGAATCATCTTGGTGGTTCTCCTCCTTCTTCAGTGCGTTGTCACCTGCCCCATTGTATTGGACCTTTTGGATCTTTATTTTTGGGAGAGAGACTTAGAAATATACCTTTTTGGCCCATGGTTGATTGAGCATGTGAGTCAAACTGATGGATTCCCAAACTGGATTTTGACAGTAGGGCCTTTTAGCAATGGAAATTGGAGTTTGCGTGGTCTGCTGTCCATGGTTGGCAATGCCCATTGTTGGTCCCTACTGTTTACTTGTCCACTGCATGGTCTAAGGCAAGTATGTAAGCTTCTGTACCTTAGTTCCTTCCGTAAGATCAGGAGGTTCTTGACCCATTTTCTAATCATTTTGCAAGGGTTAAGAGATCTACACTTACAAAATCATTTGAACTAAAGAAAATCCCTGCCAAATAGTCACCATGAAAGTTTTTTATTCCAGCAAGAAGAGGAATTAATGGTATGATATCCCAGCACCTAAAGGAATGAGACCATTCAAAAATGAATTAATGTGTGTACCTATTCATTTCCAAGTCTTTATTCCATAGCCCCTCACGTGAAAATGAAAATTACTGACCGACCTTTTGATGTCTCTTTCAGGGACACCTGTGTGGTTCTTTGTGAAAATTGCTCCAATTCGAAATGAACAGGATAAAGTGGTTTTATTTCTTTGCACTTTCAGTGACATAACAGCTTTCAAACAGCCCATTGAGGATGATTCATGTAAAGGTTTGTAATTCTGATTTGTACAAAAACATTTATGCCTTTTTCCCCCCCTGTGGTGTGTCTCCCATTACGGAGAATTTGAGGTTGCCAAGGCAATCTCTGCACAAAGATCAAGATTTAAACTCAGATTTGTGTTGGGTAAAGCACTGTATCATTCTGGAATGTATTAAGCGGGAAAAGGGGAAGAGAAAAAAAAAAACTTTGTTTAGGAAAGCATTTGAATCAATTTTATACCTTTTGTAGCTTAACCCTTTCCAGTAAAGGTTAGACAGAAGAAGGTAGTTGGGCATCTTTGGTATCAGCGGAGTCTTTTTAGGTGTTCCCAGGACAGATCTCAGTCATGTAAATGAGGCAGTCCATGGCCACATTCATCTTACTTGTATATAAACTTTGTTAGATTTGACTGACATCTCTCCCTCTGTGGTTGATGGAGCTATGTCTGTGGCTGGTGAATTCATTGGAAACATGGTATTAATGAGGCCAGGGTCTTGAGTAGCCTTTCCATATGGGTCGTTTGATCAGCTTGTGACCACAGATTTTAGTGCTCACTTCAGCCATATCACATGCACGTATTGTTTGAATAATACTGGGGGCCAAGGAAGGAAATGGCTCAGGATTTCTAGAACATGTATATGCTTGAAGAGGTTCCACTAATCAGATGTACAAAAGATGGCTTGTGATTCCCAGAGGTTTGGGATAGGGGGTGTCACAGCCCTCTCTTCCATCCGTCTTCTCGCATGCATGCGAGACAGTCAGGAGGCCGTCAGCTCTTCTTTGTTGCAGTGCTTCTTGGCTCTGTGGCTGATTTTCCAGCTCTCTCTGAGAACTCTGTTCCTTGCGGTTTCCCAAGATGCAGCAGAGAGATGCTAGAAGGGCCTGGGCAAGAGTGAAACTGACAAAATTGTGATTGTTAAAATGTGCCTTAGAGGAGGAAAGAAAAAACATTATGTGGGTGCTGAATCTTCTAGCACATGTGGATGCTCACATTTACAGAGTTCAGAGCACAGTCCTGTGTAGACCAGTGCATCCTATTTTTTTAAACTGATAACGATAGCCCAGTAAATCGATTTTAGCCTGCCTTTTGATTTTAAGACGACTGCAGATGTCAAGTTTCTTGGCCAGTTCCTCAGCCACCTGCAGTCTCCTTTTTCTCCTGCAGGTCTGTGATTCCCTGATTCCTAGTTTCTGACTTGAAGATTCCTCAGTGCAACAGGGATTACACGGTGATAGACTCACTCATGATTAAGGGTCACCCTTCTGTCCTCCAGAAACGCCATTGGCTTTTTTTAACTGAATAAACTCATAGATCCTGTTTTAAAGGCAGTCAGATATTTTGACATTTGCTTTTGCAAGTTTTCTCTTAAATCTTTAAAGTAACGTGATTTGGTTGAGTCAGCACACTTGCGTTTCACCACCACTGGAACATTTTTGGGTGACATGCAAGTATTGTTTAGTAGGAAAGACATACCCAACAGAGAATGTGCCACCTGGGTGTCTGCATTTGGTTCTTATGAAACATGAAAGAAGAGATAAAAACAGTGACGCGGTGAGGCTCACCTAGGTTTATTTTCCAGGAGTAAAAAATGCTCTACTTCACTTAACCTGCCTCAATGATGCATTTCCTCGCTGATGAGAGTTTTGGTATGTGCACACGCACCCACCTTAGTGCTCCCTGCAGGAACGCTGCTAGTGGATCATCCTTAATGTCTCCTCCAAGACGTGACTTTGTAAGCCTGTACATTTTAAATGCCATGATGGGTATGTTTAGACACTCCCACTTTTATGTCACTGTGGCCCTGGCTGACGTTGATTTGGTAGTCCACTTGGGACAAGGTCAAATTTTATATTAGTCCGTTTACAATAGAAGAGCATGACAGTTCTCCAGGCCTTGTTAGTTGTAAGTCTATAAACTGAAATTCTGGCTGCAAGGATCAAATCTAGGAAAACACGTTGCTGTGTAGCTGGATTGTTCTCCTGACTTGACATTTCTTCTTGGATGTGCTCTCACATTGAGAGGTTCTGGCAGGTCCAACTGGGTTTTCAGTACAGCACCTCAGTCAGCAATAAGAGTCTCAGAAGTCTTGCTAACCAGGCTTGTTTAGAATTCACTTTTGAGATGGAATGGAAGGGTGGATTATCCCAAACCCCAGAAATCCCCAGATAATTGCTCTTTGGCATAGCAGCACAAGATGTTTCCCATCATCAGATTAGTCCTCTTTTTAGTCAACAGTGCTCAAATTGTCTTTAAAATGACTTTATTTTCTCTAACTTTGGGGCTTGGGAGTGGGATAAGTGCATCCAGTAGTGACACGAGAAAGCCACTTGGTGCCTAACATTTTCCCAGAAACACTCCACAAAGTGGTAAACACACAGGGTAATCTTCAGTGGACTATTTTAGCATCTGACACAACGTAACTCCCCTTTGGCGAGTGATTGGGCCACCCCAGACCCCCTTTCCTTTAGTGTATCAGTTCTCAAGCTCCTTTTTATGAATCATCTGGGCCCCTGGACTTCCTTATCTCTTTTCTGTCCATCTTTTGACTACTTCCTTTGCTCTCTGACAAAAGGTGTCCGCAGGACCTTCCTTTGGACAGAAAATGCAAGTCGAGCTAGGTTTGCTGTTTGGAAGCAGCTCTGGGGTGTGTGTATATGTATTTGAAGTCAGGGTGACAGAGTAGATGGGAATTCTTGGCTGAAATGAGAATGGAATCTCTCACTTTTCTGTTATTATGGATAATTGGTAGTGGGGCTGCAGGACATTTTTCTCTGTCCTATTCTCACTTCTCAGCTGGGAGGCTTGGGCAAGTGGGTAGAGAAGAGTTCGATGGTAAGGCTCAGGGTTTGCTCTCTGCATTGCTCCCCAAAGGATGAGGATGGATTACCCCTCTTGTTTTGTCTCTTACTCCACCAAATAGTCTCACACTGAAGGAGCGAATTCATTTTCAGAGACCCACAAATTTAGTGCTACATAGTTAAACTTGAGCCAGATTCAGATAAAGTAAAGGAATGTAAAACTCCAGAGGAGATTTTCAAAGGCCAAAGATTGAGAATATTCAGGGGTGAGGCCTCTGGCAAGCTGCTGTAACTGCTGATCTGTCCGTATGTCTTCCTGTGGGATATTCGTGAGGCACTCTTGGGAAAGAAACTGGGCAGTGGATACCAGCTACAGGTGCCTTTGGCCCCTTCAGTATTAACATTTTATCCCTCTGCCCTTAGGATGATGGAAAGGTGATGATTTAGTGGCTGCTCCTCGAAGAAGCCACCCTAGATTTTTGGTTGTTTCTATAGTGATAGGGAAAAGACCAGGGGAGGAAGACTTGAGAGTGCTTGGGCAGTGTCCACACTGACTGTCCATCTTGGTCCTCAGTGTCTTCTGTGCTCTTGTGTATGTTGGGTTATGGCACCAGCTCCTCTAAGAGAATCTGTGACTCTGCAGATTAGGGCAAGCTTGGCCTCCAGCCTCCCCACTGAGGTCAGGACACCTTACAGCCATTTCCTCTTCAACTTCTACTCAAAGTGACTTGGCATGATTTCCCAGGGGAGGAGCCTATATGTCTGTCTTTTCTTGTATCCCTGGACTTCTCCTTGGACGAGCTGGAATTTCGTCTCACCCCAGAGTGATCTCTTCTTCTGGCCTAGGGAAACACAGGGCTTTGTGGGCTAAAGAAGCCTAGTGGGGGGCTTACCCCAGTTGAAACCAGTAGCCATCGTGTGGTCAAGGAAGGGGGAAATAGTTGCCCTTACTAAGAATGGAGAAAAGACCTAGTAAGTGCTTTTTAGCTGATTGCTGGATTACATATTGTGTTCCCTTTCTTCTATCCTTCTTCTCCCGTCATGCCTCCTCTTCCCTTCCTGCCCACCCCCTCTCACGCCAAAGACATACAGTAAGTGTGTGTGCTGAAGAGCTAGAGGTCTGCCTAAGGCAGAGGGGAGTGTACAAAGGAAGGAGTGAGCTGTTCTGCTGGTGGTATGGCAGGATCCCGGAAAGGTTCCCTTAGGAGGAGCCGCCTTAGTTTCCTCATGGAAAATGACCATTGGATTTCCCCCAAGGAAGATTGTCTTGAGCTAGGTTCTCATTGGGTTGTCTCCTCCCATTTGTCCTTTTGGATAACAGGAGCTCTGTTGTTTTCAGGAATGTTTCTCCTGATGGCTTTGGTCCAAATTATACAAGGTATCTTCCATAAAATCCATTTGCTCCTCTTATGTGTTTTTAATCTCATTGCATGGCTCTCACCCTAGTCACCCAAATTGGGAACCCAGAGGCTGCCTGGATTGCCACAGTATTGTCCAGGCATGCAGAGTCTCTTGCCTGGGGTCCTAACTGGTTTTTATCTATCAACCTTGTTTTTTTATTTTTTTTTAATGTTTTTATTTATTTTTGAGAGAGAGGGAGGGAGAGAGAGAGAGAGAGAGAGAGCGAGAGCATGAGCTGGGGAGGGGCAGAGAGAGAGAGAGAGAGAGAGAGAGAGAGAGAGACAGAATCTGAAGCAGGCTCTAGGCTCTGAGCTGTTAGCACAGAGCCTGACATGGGGCTCAAACTCATGAACTGCGAGATCATGACATGAGCTGAAGTCAGATGCTTAACCGACTGAGCCACCCAGGCACCCCTATCAACCTTGTTTTTTAAAATCTACTATTCACATTACCATTCTGTCTTTTGTCTTTTTTCTTCTTCCTCCTCTTCTTCTTCTTCCCCTTCTCCTTCTTCTTTTTCTTCTTCTTCTCCTTCTCTTCTTCTTCTTCTTCTTCTTCTTCTTCTTCTTTTCCTTCTTCTCCTCCTCCTCCTCCTCCTCCTCCTTCTTTTTCCTCTTCTTCATGTTTATGTATTCTTGAGAGAGAGAAAGTGCAAGTGGGATGGGGCAGAGAGGGAGAGAGAGAATCTGAAGCAAGCTCTGCATTGTCCATGCCACCCTCAGTGTGGATCTCAAACCTACGAACTGTGAGATCATGACCTGAACCAAAGCCAGACGCTCAACTGTCTGAGCCACTCAGGCGCCCACCATTCTGTCTTTCTAAAGTGAAATCAGAGTGTTTCCTCCTCCCTACTATATTTGAACTCCTCCCTGGTTCCCTATGGGTTTCAGAATGAAGTTCAGATTTCTCAGTTTGCTATCTAAGTTGTTATCACCAAAGTTCTTCTCCATCTGGACCCTGACAACCACTTTAACATCACTTCAAGCCACTGTCTACACCCCCCTCCTCTCTACCAGTCACGGCATTTGGGATGTCTTACTCTTCACTGACGTGTTACCCTATTTTATGATTTTCGCTTTTGTAGGTGCTGTTCCTTTTGTGTGCAATGTCTATCTTTTCCTTCTTGTGTTTTTAACTCCTACTCATCTTTCAAAATTTGTCCTAGTGTTACCCCTTCTGGGAAGCCTCCCAAGCCTGGATTAGATAGATATGCCTTCTCTGGACAGTCTTGACCATAGCATCCTATATTCATCTCTGTTACAGAACTTAGCTAATGAGCTAAGTCATGGCTTATGTCATGGCTTTTAAAATTTATTTGCCAGTCTTCTCTACTAGAGCGCATGCTCTTTGAAGCCAGAGTCTGTATCTTATTTATCTTAGTATCTCTAGTACCTAGCACTATGCCTGGTATATAGCAATTATGTTTATAGAATTAATACATGAATGAATGAAGTTTTTTCATCTGGCCAGGCAATGATTCCTACTAGAAAGTATCTGTAGTTCAGAAAGAACATGGGGTGGAACTTGAGGGAGAACTTATTTCCTTCCATCAGAACAGCAGAGCCTGGCCGTCCTGGTAGAGATGCGATGGAGAATTTCACACTGCCTGTCCGTTTCCCCATCCAACACCCACTCATCTTCCCATGCTGTCCACTGAGGTAGCCGAGAGCCAACTCCTTTAAGAGCCACATTCTTAGAAAGGTTTCAGGGCTAGCCTGAGCCTGGGGAAATGCCTAGAGGTCCAGGGATCTTTCTTTTCATCCCTTGTGCTAGATAGACCAGGACCCTGAGTTCCCTGCCAGGCAGGGTCTGGGGTATCTGTCCTGCCACCTCCTTCTTATCATTGGTCCCAGAGTATGGGTCATGGTGGTGGTAGTAGTGATGGTAGTGGAAGGGTAGGTTGTGGGTTTGGTTGGGGGGGTGTTGCAGAGCCCTCGTTGATGTCTGATGCCCAACTATGTTTTACCTGATTGAAAATTATACTTTCTGTTCTTGAAAATCGTTGTAGAATTCAATTCCAGTTTTGTTTGGAGCTGAAAGAGAGCCTAACTCTGAAAGAGACTTAAAAAAAATTCTGGTTGACAGCTCACAAAGCAGATTCCAGTGAGCATCTTCATAAATGGTACATTTGGGGGAGATGTGAAACCTCTGCAGAGTCTGGACCATCCCCTCCTGTTAACATTAATGGGACCCCTACCGCCTGACTACCATGTGTCTCTTTTCAAGCTGACTCCAGCGGTCCTATTTCTCTGCTTAATGGCATCAGGATGGATGAAAATGCCACTGTCTTTTATTAAACCTAGAACTTCTGGAATAAGATAATAAAGCACTGATTTGCTATTCTTTCCATGTTGACGAAAATTTATCCAGATCATGATTCTTAAAGGTGCAAAAAAAAAAAAAAAAAAGGGGCCATTCTGCTGCTTAACTTCATTCCTCTGGATTCCAAGTCTATCTTGGAAAGGTGCTCCAGGGTAGAATTTGGCAGAACTGAGGTCTGCTGCAAGGTGTTGAATACTGCTAAACACTAAGGGATAAAAACCAAAAAAAATCACCTAGTCCTGTTTTTAGCTGTCATGTAAAAAGAGTTGGGTGCTCTGTTTACTTGCTATCTACTCCACGTCTAGGTCTTTGGAGCACCTCAACCCCAAGGTTGGTCTTGAGAACACTGACAGGGTTTCATGGGTCTCTTGAGGCAATTGCCATGGTCATAACCTGGATGCAGATGAGTTGGGTTGCTGGGTATTGGAATGGACAGTTGTCTTTGGAGATAATTAAATGCAGTAAAGATCACTCATATGTCTTAGATTCTGCGTTGTGGAGGGGGCTGGATTGGAAAAAGATCAGTATTTTACTTTTCCTGGAGGAGCTGGTCCAGAGTGCCAAGGAGGCCTCCAGACAGCCTCTGTTTTAGTCTGCTAACCTGAGCCCACTAAACTTAGCCCCTTTGTTTTACTGGACAAATGCACCCTGCCTTTAGGCAGCTAGAATATTTTAATTTCCACTTTACAGATAAGGCTTAAGCAATTTAAATGACTGGTTGGTGATCACAAAGCAAGCTGGAGGCAGAAATGGGACTTGTGTCCAGATTTTTTTGCTCCAAGTTCGGCTCTTGGGATTCTTGTTATTTGGAGGAACCTGTCAGCAACTGTCCTTCCCCCATCCCAGAGCAGACTAAAATATGCCTGTACTTCACCCCCCCCCCCCCCCCCCCCCCCCCCCGACAAGGGATTAGATTCATTTCTCATTCCCCTGGCTTTGGAGAATGCATTGCATGGGATAGCCATTTAACTGGCTTGTCCACATAACACTTGGAACCTGCTTGGTCTCTACTAGATCAGACTACGTGGGGGTTGGGGGCAGCTTGAGCCCAAAGTCTGAGAAATATCTCAATTGCCTGGCATTATCTGGCAGAAAAGCCTTGAGCTAGAGTGGAAACATCTGGGTTCTGGACTCTGTAGTCATCTGAGCACTCTGTGCCTCAGTTTTCCTATTTGTAAAACAGTGCTAAAACCTGTCACAAAGCTATGATTAGGATAATGTGAAAGGGGAAGAGTAAATTGCAACACAAATTTGTCTAGGTGCTTTTCTGAGCAGCGAGTCTGGGCTGGGAGGAATACAGAATGATTCATGGGAGCCCAGGAGGACAATGGGTGTATGTGCTTCTGACAGCCTAACTTGTGGTGTGAATGTCCATGACCTTCAGGACATGGTTGAAGCTGTCCTTTCTCTCCTCTACATGCTCCAGGCTGGGGGAAGTTTGCTCGGCTGACCAGAGCACTGACGAGCAGCAGGGGGGTCCTGCAGCAGCTGGCTCCCAGCGTGCAGAAAGGCGAGAACGTCCACAAGCATTCCCGCCTGGCTGAGGTAAGGGCAAGGGGCCAGCTCGTCTTAAACCGCACTTCCCTGGGATCCCTGGGCTGAGAAAATGCCACAAAGCAAGTGTGTGGTTTGGAATGGACTTTCAGGACCCTCACACTCATGTGTTGGCTGGGCTGCACACCATAATGAGTGACTTTGGGAAAGTGACCTAATTCCTTTGAGCTTTGTACTTTCCCATATGTAAAAGGGGCCTGCAGACAGCTCTGTTCAAATGTATTGAGGTTACAGGTGTCCGTTCACTTTTTTTGAGGGAGTAGAGAAAGAGCTAGAAGTGCTATAGACATGAAGGGGTTTTTACTTCTAAACCATAAACAATTTTGTTATTCAAGCAATACATATTATTAGAGGGGGAAAAAAGGTACAGAAAGCAAAAAGAAAAAAACCAACAACTTGTAATCTCACTAACCACATGGTTTTATTGTAATTTTTGTATACATTCTTTAACTCTTTTCTTTGCATATGTTGTCTTTCCTAAAGCCTAATAAATACATTTTTCATGTTAATATGTATGAAGTTCAGATGTATCTAAGAATCAATGTGTATATTTGATACGGTCGTGTTACCTTTTCTTCCCTTTCTATAATCATGAACATCTTTCCAGGTTAATACATGTACCTGAAATTCTTGTTGTTCTGGTAACCTTTGTAGTAAGGAAAACCTGTGACAGGTGGTATTCTCCCTTTTACTGGGACAAATGAGCAGCTGGGATGCCTGGACTTAATGCACCCAAATTACTGGTCTCTGTCTTTGGTGGTTCTGCATCCAAATCACTTATTATCTGCCTTTGATGGTGTCTGGTCCTCATTCTTTCCACTCAGCCTGGTGGACCAGGTAAGAGCATTATACCCTGCACACAGGAAGCTTTCATTTTAGCCAGAGATGACAGTGTATGTTGTCTCTCTGCCTGGTGGTGGCCACTCAGCTCTTGACCCTTGCTCAGATGCCAGGACCCTTTCTGGCCTGACTCCTGGCTCCCGGACTCCTAAGAGAGAAACTGCCAGCATGGTGTGGCTCACAGGGGCGCTGCGCACAAGTACACTGAGTGTCAGATGCGTTAACTACAGATCTCCTTGCGGCATCCCAAAGCTTTGGCCAATAGTGGGAGTGGGAGGATTCACCTGTGTCATGTTAGAGAAGGAGAGGCATTTGGAAGAATAGTTTTTGGTCATGATGTGAGCTTAGTATAAGATAGGAAGAATAATAAAGGAGACCTTTTGTTCACAGCCTGCACTTTCCTTGTTGGGTCTTTTGGTTAATAAAACAACCTCCTTTGGGGCTGTTCTCTGCCTTGCTGACTCTTAGCCACTCTGCTTGCTGTTCCTTCCACACACCACGCCTGCTCTTCTCGCAGATATCTGCGGGGCAATTCCTTCACCAACTCCAAGTTTTTGCTCAAATGTCATTTTTTCTGGGTGGCTACCCGAATCAGGGTTCTACCAGAGAAACAGAACCACTAGGATATTTGTATGTTAAGAGATTTATTGCAAGGAATTGGTTTATGTGATTGTGGGGGCTGGCTAGGCAAGTCTAAAATTTGTAGGGCAACTTGGCCAACTGGGAAAAACTCTTGGACGGATCTGATGCCAAAGTCCACAGATGGTATTTCTTCTCCTGCAGTTCTGCTCTTAAGGCCTTTCAACTGATTAGGCAGGGCCCGCCCAGATTATAGGGTATACTCTGCTTTCCTGGAAGTCGGCTTATTGTAGCTATCACATCTACAAAATTCCTTCACTGGAATGCTTAGATTAGTGTTTGATCAAATAACTGGGTACCATGGCCTAGCCAAGTTGACACATAATACTAACAATTACAGTTCATGCCTTGTCAGCTTGTCATACACATTTACTTAAACCATACTTAATCTCCCAATAAAGACAGTAACAAAGTCATACTTTCACTTAACATGCTCCACTTATCCTGCATATAACCAAAAACATGCCAGCTCTTCCCACAGAAGAGGACACAAAATCCTTGGGTGATGTTCACTCTTCCCCTTGATACTCTGTCACTTAAATACTCAGATGTAAACTAGTATTAATGCATCTTATGTTTGTTGATAGGGGGCAAGAGAGGGAAGAAAATAGAGTATTTGCTTAATATATGTATATATACATATATATGCGTATGTATGTACTATATATATACACACACACACATTTGTACGAAAACGAAAATACTCATAACTCCTAATTCTCTCCTGCTCTTTTTCTCCACTTAGTCCCTTATAATGTACTATACAGCTTATTCATTTATTCTGTTTGTTATTCATCAATACATCCCAAGTACTTAAAACAGTGCCAGGCACATAGTATATAGCTTATCAGTAGTGGGTTTTTTTTTTTTAATTGATTGAATTGATGACAGAAAGGAAATGATGTAGTGTTTTTGTCGACCTGTCTGACAGAAGCACTTGCTCATTGACTGGCAATATGAAGCAGACATCTGGGTCCCATCCCAGGGAATAGTAAATTTTAGTTAGCCTGGCTAGAGGCTTATGGATTGTATCTTTACCAAGAACCAGATTTGGATTTTGTTGATTTACTCAAATGGTTTTCTGTTTCCAATTCATTGATTTCTGCTCTAATGTGTATTATTTATTTTCTCCTATTTACTTTGGGTTTAACTCACTCCTCTTTTTTTTTAGTTTCCTAAGCTAGAAACTTAGATTATTGATTTTTGATCTTTCTTCTCTTCTCATATATGCATTCAATGATGTAAATCTTCCTCTAAGCACTACTTTCATTGCATCCCACAAATGTAAGTTCTGTGTTCATTAAAAAAAATTTTTTTAATGATTACTTATTTTTGAGAGAGAGAGAGACAGAGTGCAAGTGGGGAAGGGGCAGAGAGAGAGTGAGGCATAGAATCCCAAGCAGGTTCCAGGCTCCAAGCTGTCAGCACGGAGCTGGATGCAGGGCTCGAACTCATGAACTGTGAGATCATGACCTGAGCCAAAGTCAGACACTCAACTGGCTGAGCCACCCCGGTGCCCCAAGTTCTGTGTTCATTTTAAATTGTTCTCAGTTTAAAAATATTTTGAAATTTCTCTTGAGATTTCTTTTTTTATCTCGTGTTATTTAGAAATGTGTTGTTTAATCTCCAAATATTTTGGGGTTTCACAGCTATCTTTTTGTTATTGCTTTCTAGGTTTTAAATCCACTGTAATCTGGGACCAGACATTGTATAATTTCTGTTGTTTTCAATTTGTTAAGGCTGTTCCCCTGACAATAAGTTCCTTAATTTTTGTTGGAGAAAATCAGTATTTCTCCCTTACTTTTTTTAAAAAAAGTTTACTTATTTATATATATATAGAGTGAGCACGTGTGCAAGCTGGGGAGGGGCAGAGAGGGAGGGGGAAAGAGAGAGAGAGAGAATCCCAAGCAGGCTCTGGGCATCTGAGCAGGGCCTGACGCAGGGCTCGATCTCATGAACTGTGAGATCATGATCTGAGCCAAGATAAAGGGTAGGATGTTTAACTGACTGAGCCACACAGGTGCCCATCTCCTTCACTTTTTAAAGATCATTTTATAGGGTACAGAATTCTAGACTGGTGATTGTTTGTTTGTTTGTTCGTTCTTCTCTCAACTCTAAATATTTTAGTCTGCTCTCTTTTTGCTTATGTTTCTGAGGAGAAGTTAGATATACTTCTTATCTTGGCTCCTTATAGGTTAGGTATTTTTTGCCTCTGGCTTCTTTCAGGATTTTTTTTTTTTTACCTTTGATTTCCTGCAGTTTGAATATGATGTATGCCTGTGTGTGTTTTCTGTTTATTTAATGGTCCTATATTCTGTTTGTGTTCTGTGAGCTTCCTGAAACTGGGATTTGGCATCTGATATGAATTTGGGGGAAATTGTCAGTCATTATTGCTTCAAATATTTTTTCTGTTTCTCTCTTTCTTCCCCTTCTAGTGTCTCCCTTACACCTATGTTACACCTTTTGCAGCTGTCCCACAGTCCCTGGATATTGTTTTATTTGGTCCTTTTTCTCTTTGCTTTTCGGTTTTGGAGGCTTCTATTAAATCTTCAAGCTCAGAGATTCTTTCCTCAGCTGTGTTCAGTCTGCTAATGAGCTCATCAAAGGCATTCTTCATTTCTGTTCAGAGTGTTTTTGATATCTAGTATTTCTTTTTGGTTCTTTCTTAGAATTTCCATCTCTTTTCTTACATAACCCATCTGTTCTTGCATGTTACGTTTTCCATTAGAGCCCTTCGCATATTAATCATGGTTGTGTTAATTCCTGGTCTGATAATTCCAAAGCCCCTATCATTCCTGGGTCTGGTTCTGATGCTGCACTGTGTCTTTAGACTGTTTTTTGGCTTTTGGTATGGCTTGCAATGTTTTGAAAGCTGAACTTGATGTGCTGGGTAAAAGGCACTTGGGTAAATAAATAGGCCCTTAGTGGTGTGGGAGTGAGGTGTCAGGGGAGAAGCAGCATTTATAGTCCTATAATTAGCTGTTCTAAGGAGCTTATGCCCCTGGAATGTGAATTTCACGAATGTCTCTCAGTATATTCCCTACTTAGGCCAGACAAAATGCATAGAGGGGCCCAGAATTGGATATCCCCACCCCCCTATCAGAGAGGCTCCACGAAACCTAATACATGAATTAGGTTCTGGTTCAATAGTTTCTCCTGAGGGCAGACTTTTTTTTTTTTAAGAAGAATAGAATGCTCTCATGTATTTCAGTATGGTTACTTTTCTCCTCCTCTTCAAGAAGCATGAGAGTATATTTTTCTTTGATTTTCACTGTGAGGATGGCTACAGGTCCTGGAGGTCAAGCTCTCAAAACCACGAGTGGCTCCCCCTGGAACTTGTAATTCTCAGACTTGGTCACACTGAGCCACCTGCAGGTTAGATTTCCCCATCTGGCACTAGTTTTTGTGCAGGCTTCTGCTCATGGAAAGTTGTTATTTCTTTTATTCACCTGCCCTCTTCTCCAATTTTGGTGCAGCACTTGCTGTGAAGTTTCGCTTCTTGGATGGATCTA